ATTAAGGACGAAAAGTGATAATTTCACTAACCTTAGGGACCATTTGCAATAAAAAGCCAAAGTTTAATGAAATGATCCACATGAGGAGTCCATATATGGCACCCTAAACATGGGATAACAACTATATAGAATTTCGCCTTCAAACATATATGAAAATAGGGATAACAACCACAAACACTTCACATGTAAACCATAAACACTTGGAGAAAGCTTTGAATTGCTTAGCTATGACTATTGGAAATTCTGAACAATACTTATCAGCCATGGTTCGGTAAGTATCATTTGCAATTTCTCATTATTCTCAATCTTCTACTTTCTTTTCACTTCCCTTTATTTTCCCCTCGATTCTCATTCTTCTAGTCAAGACTCGAGACGTAGTGCTAACAAACACCCGGTAGCCTTGGCACATATCAGAAAAAAAGGCAGTACTCATTTTTGGTTTGATTTGGTAGTATCATTGCAACTTGTTATTCTCAGTCTTCTAGTTTTCTTCTTTTCTCTTTGCTGATTCTCAGTCCTCTAGTTGAGAGATAATGCTGACAAACACCTGGTAGCCTTGGCGCATATCGGAAAAAAGGCAGTACTCATTCTTGGCATGGTATGTGGCCATCAAGCCTGTACATGCATGCAAAAGGGCAAAGAATCAGAACATCATCAACTAAGATATAATAACCTACGAACTCCCAGAAACAACTGCTATGCATATCATGAGTAGTATTCTCCTCTACTTTGAAAGGTTGTGTGGAGAATACCCTTTTATAAGACTAATCAGCTTACCTTCATGTCAGTTTTACCACTTATCCAGTATAAACAGTCATACAAATTAAGTTCCTTCTTTTTTAGCTCAGCTTCCCTTATCTTCACATCCTCTCACAATTGACAGCCACTAGGCCCAGAACTGTTCTCACTTGTAATTCAAAGCTTCATATCCACAAGTATATTTTTATACCAGCATCTTAAACTAATTACCATCACACCATGCACAAATAAGTATGCTTATCATGAGAAGTATTGTCCTTTACTTCGAAAGGTTGTGTGCCCTTTAAACAAGACAAACCAGGTGACCTTCATATCCGTTTACCACTTACACAGGATAAACAGTCATACAAATTAGGTTTCCTCTTTCTGAGCTCAGTTTCCCTTATGCTCTCATCCTCTCAAAATTGACAGCCAACAGGCCCAAGAACTCATCTCACTTATAATTCAAAGCTTCATATGCACAAAGTCTATTTTCTTAAACTAATTACCATCAAAACATACACTAAGTAATACAACCTTTGATGCCATCATAGCATTATGGTTGTTTCTAAGTTCTAAAGTATCTATAACTTTTGTGAACTAAATCCAAAACGCCAAAAGAAATAGTATCATTACCGTAGCCAGACGTTTGAACATCAAATCCTTCATCCTAGCACACAATAAAATGATATAGTTAAGGAAAAATACAAGAGAAAGAAAAGGAAAAAAAAAAGCCTTGGAAGAAA